TATATATATAATATATAATTTTTCTGCTTACGATTTTAGATGCTCCAGCCGACAGTTGCTGCGTAAAGAGGAAATCAACGGCCGGAGCTGATGCAGCAGAGGATGCACAGGATGGTGCGAGTCCCGAAAAGAAGTCAAGACTCGAGGAGAAGTGCTCCGAAGCCGAGAATAACGGCGACGCGGAGGAGGCCACGGCCTAATATTCTCTCATGTTTATTATTGACAGACAGACCTAATCTATAGATGCAATTTTAACTACCGAGTGTGAAGCCAGGGCAGATCGTCTGTGCATTTTCAGAGAGAAGATGGCGAGCATAAAAAAAAGAAGAAAAAATCCAGAAAAAACATTTTGATGTTTATTGCATTAAGAACTTTCTGTGTTCAGGATGATTGTGTGTGTCTCCCATAGTATTTCTTGCAATTGTTAATTGGAAATAGCGACACAAATCCGATATTTTTGAAAAAAATATCGCAATTACATTTTAATGTAAAGCATAAACAAACAGTGTTCTCTGTACTGGCATCCACGTGCATACATATTATATATTCACTTAGCGTTAGAATTTTAAGATAAGGAAATATACCGATAATGTTAGAAATAATATATTTCTAATTCATCAAAAAACGACGGTGCGGTGTCTGGAAAAGGGGTACATTTGTGCAACATAATATTTCCATCTACTTGCTAGTCCTCATTGTTTCCGACGCACGGACACACATTGTATCTTATACCTATAAATGACACATACACACCTTGGACTATACATCGGAGATAGAATACGAATATTTTTCTGCGAATCAAAATACATTCCCAAAAATAGATTGACTTGTAACGTTATGACTGTTCGCCGACGAAAAACTTAAAAGAGCGCCATTTCTACAGCTAACTTTGAACATGCGTGTTTCACAATATTTTATTTATATAATATAAATTAATTCTTGAAAAAAAAAACGGAAGCTTATCTAAATAAATTTTTTTATTTGGATAAATTGATTATATTAACTGTACTAATACTTAGTATGTGTTTATGATAATTCTTATTTTTTTTTTTTTCAAAGGACAAAGAATATTTTTGAAAAGAATATTGTTTAAATCCATAATATGAATTTGTGTC